TTTTTCATATAGTGGAAATGAAAATAAGTTATTTGAACGATTAAAAATCTGATTTATGTGTTTATGTCTCGCCATAGGACAACAACAAAAGCCCCAGGCTATGCCTTGTGAAATATGGTACATATTTATAACTGAACAGGATGCACAAAAAAAGTCTGTTGGAGCCACTTCCCAAACCCCACAGGAAGTCCGCCATTCTGTTATTGACTCATCTTTATCTCAACAAAGTACTCATAGAACTTTTGAGTTACATTCTTCAAATTCACTTTGCATGAACTTTAGGCATAGTATTATAAGTTATCAAAATAATTTTTTTACCTCAAATTATGTGGGGATGAACAAACATCAAAATCTGACCTCCAGCAGCGCCATACATCACATAACATTATGGATTTATAACTTCAACAAGCAACGTCAGAGGAGTAAATTTTTTCTAAGCATCATCTTGGAACAACATCACCACAAACAGATTTGAAGTTATCAGGAAGATCAGGAAGTCCTATGTTTCACTGTCAGAATCCCTTGCTTTTCTCTGCAAGCCCTATGGAATAAAAAATGGCTGGAACTGCTTTCAGGATTGTCAGATTTAGGCCACAGTGGTGTACGCATGGATAGGCCGAGAAAATGCAGTTTTAATTAAAATTTTAGTACATTCTAATTTTAGCCAGTTATTTCGGTAAAGCACAAATTGTGAATAGGTTACATTCATTCATTTTTCTAAAGACTGGAATAATACATCATGAATGTTATGTTTTGCTAAGAATGTCCCCCTTTGCTTACCATAGATTATTCTGGGAAGAATGGGTAACCCGGATGTTGTTGTTTTTAGCCTGTGAAGCTAAAAAAAGTTACGTCGAGCATACTCCTGCCTCCTGAGCCGTTATTGCCTTTATGAAGTGGGATAAAATAGGGCTGGGCAATATAGAAAAAAAGTTTATCGATAAAAAAAATGAATATTGATCGATATTGATAATTATTGAAAAGATTTGAAACCATATTTTATGTGCAGTTCTGCCTGGACTTTTTATAATATTGCTAAATGATTTAATTTTAATAAAGAACACAAACACAGACTTCGAATTAAATCTTTATTTAACCAACCTTTTTAACCATAACAGAATTGTTTTAAAGTAAAAAATAACTTAAGAGACCTGACTTATGTTATTAAATACTGACAAAGAATAAACTAAAGTGACCAAAATAAATATAACAAATAAATAAATAAATGGACCCCCCCCCCCACACACACACACACACACACACACACGCACACACACACACACAGCCGCCGCCCCCATTCTTCTAAGCTGAACCTGGTTTAGCTTACCGTATTTTCACGACCATAAGGCGCACCGTACTAAAATGCGCACTCTCAGTTATGTGTCCCATTTCTGTATTTAACACACACATAAGGCGCACCGGACTATAGGGCGCGTTTTTTATATACAGGTACATGTCCTCTACTACGTTTAAATACCTCTACTACGTATTTAAAAATACAGCGGGGGCAAAACTGAGTATGATTGTGCTTTATTCATGTATTTATTACAAAGTATTAATCAAACCTGGGAGCTGGCCATTAGACAGACGCATCGCAGATGACAGAGCTTTGTGATTACTCCTAAATTAACTTAAAATCCTGAAACCTGCCGACAGAATATGTTCGCTTTTATTGCCGGTATCCTGGTGCCTGCAGTTTAAATTATTTAGATGAAAAACACCTGCCAGCCACCGCGGTGAACCCGGAGGCTACCCGGCCTAGAGGCTGCTGTTGAAGGGGTTCCTACTGTCGGTGCACCGCTGGTATGTGAAGGGGTCTGAGTGCCTCCGACAGAAATAGTATAGGCAGGATAATAATCTGGATGGACTGACTGCAATGATTAAGTTTTCAGGTGGCCTTTCTCACTTAAAAACATATTAAAACTACTTTATTCCCACTGATCACAGCAAATATAGCTGCAAGATTTAGATTATTTAGATGAAAAAACACCTGCCAGCCGCCGCGGTGAAACCGGAGGAGACCCGGCCCAGAGGCTGCTGTTGAATTAAGTTTTCAGGTAGAAAAATACAGCGGGAGCAAAACTGAGTATGATTGTGCTTTATTAATGTATTTATTACAAAGTATTAATCAAACCCATCAAAGTCATCATCCTCTGTTTCTGAATTAAACAGCTGCGCTAAATCAGAAATGCCAATTTCCCCTTCTTTGCTGTCAGAGTCACTTTCCGTGCCGGGCGGCTCCTCAGAAATAATGCCTGCTTTTGCGAAAGCTCGAACAACAGTGCCAGCAGACACGTTAGCACAAGCATCTACAATCCATCCGCAAACGGTGGCGTAACTTGCCCGGCGCTGCCTTCCACTTATCCTGAAACTGTGGTCTCCGTCGGTCATCCATCGCTCCCACGCCGCTCGCAGCCTTACCTTGAACGGCCGGTTCACACCGATGTCGAGCGGTTCCTTTGTCAGACCCCCAGGGATAACGGCGAGCACAGGCTTAATTTGTTTCACCATGTTTTTCACATCGGCTGTGAGATGGGCACGCAGTCACAGATTAACAGCGATGGTGATGCGTGGAAAAAACCACCTGGTCTCCTCACATACACCTGCCTCAGCCACTCCTTCATCATCTCCTCATCCATCCAGCCTTTTTCATTTGCCTTAATATCATATGTCATCAGAGCAATGTGTCTGTCTCACTGTCAGCTCCCAGATCAGCTTCTCTGATTGGTTGATGCGGCGCGTCCAGCAGCAAAACTTCAATTTTTCCATCTCGAGCAGCAGCAGCGCGTTGGCAGATGCCTAAACGCTCCCGACGCGCTGCGCCTGCTGCTCAAAATGCGCTGCGGCGCGTCAACCATTGACTTTGCATGTAAACACGCTGCTTCTGCTGCACCTGCTGGGTCCGGTTCACACCGATGTCGAGCGGTTGAATAACAGCGAGCACAGCTTAATTTGTTTCACCATGTTTTTCACATCAGCTGTGAGATGGACACGCATGGAGTCACAGATTAACAGCGATGGTGATGAGTGGAAAAAAAACACCTGGTCTCCTTACATTCAGCCACTCTTTCATCATCTCCTCAATGAGGTGGTCTCAAAAGTCGCAGTTACAACACACACAGGGCGCACCGCACATTTAGAGGGAAAAAAAGACGTTTAAGGGCGCCTTATAGTCGTGAAAATACGGTAGTTTCCTGCTTTAACCTGAGTTATTACTTTGAAGTTGCTGGCCCCTCAGCATTTTTCTCTCAATTGTTAGAACTACGTGGGAAACTGCACAGAACTGAAAATATTTATATATTTTCCTGAAATTCCCGAAGATTCCTCGGAGGAGAGGCGCGCCGGGGCCTACACAGCTCGTACTCCTGCTGGTGTGAGCGGCTGAGATGATAAAAAAAAAAAGTTGGTTGTGTTATCAGACTTCGTTTTCACTGGTTCCCTACACATTTTACAGATGACTGTGGTTTGTTTTTTGTCCGACTAGCCATGACCGAAATACTGCCAAACTGGCGAACTACAAAAACCCTTTTTTGGAACAATTTCTTCCGCCTCTCCTTGCTGCGACATCTTCATGTGCTCTGTGTTGTGGCTTGAGAGGGCGGCGCTTTGTGACGGCATGCCTGGGTCCGCAATCGTGATTGGTTAGGAGGAAGTAGTGACTAGCATAGACCTACATGATAGGCTACAATGAGAAGGAAGGAAAACTGCGTTTCTTTATCGAACTTTTATCGACTCTCTTTTTTTCTATTGCGCCACACGTCTATCGATCGATATATATCGTTATTGAATTATTGCCCAGCTCTAGGATAAAATATAACAATGAAAATGTAAGAGGGATAAAGAGAGTTTGTTGATGTCGTTAGATGCATATGTACAGTATGTGTTTATAAGCAGGCTTCTGTCTCCTTAATTAATTTTAATCCCTTTTTCTCTTCTCTCAAAGTTTCTACCAATTTGCATATTTCCAATTAAACCCCAGAGCAGCTGCAGCTTTAGTGGATCTGTGAAGTGCAGGGGCAAGTTCTGCTTGGAGTCACAGTAATACATCTCCTCTCACATTAATAAATACACGTCAGCATGAAACTATGAAAGCAGACTCATGCTTTCATTCAACCCCAAACTCAACTTATACTCTAATGCTGAATTTGCAGAAGAGAAATGCAGACAATGCAACATTAAGGGATATTTCACTGTGATATACATATAGTTACAAATTATGAACCTGTGGTATGTGTAAATCTTAATAATGTAAAAATACCATCCACGTTTCTCTTCCACATGGAACATCACTACTAGTTAAAAATAGATTGGATCAGCTATAGCCCATGTCCCATACCAGATTAACTTCTTGTCATGGCTTGGCTATAGGATCTATCATTACCAAGATTATTCAATAAGAGTATTAGTCAGAGTGGAGTGTAATTTAAGGTACTGTTAAGGAGAGGAGTTCAAAAGCGACTTTTAACTCAGGATCATGCTTTAAGGTGTAAGTATGAATGAAAAACTGTTTTGAAATTCTGATAAACTCAAAGTAAATGAAAATATCTTTGCTTTCAAAATAAAGCTGACAAAATATATAATATTTATGCTCATCTCATTCACCTGCTTATCTCTGACCAGTTCTCATGATGGCTCATCTGATCCACCTGCTTCAGCTTCTATTTAATCAGCCTTCAGACCATCCTGAGAGTCTCTGATTGCCTCACCCAGAATGGGTGATCCTCACCCATTCTGCCACTGGACCTCCTATACTACCTTTTCCTGTTCTGATGTGTTTGCCTGGCCTGTTTTCGGACTCCTGCTGGATTCTTCCTTTGTACCGAACCTGGAACTGTTTCTCCACACCGTCCTGGATTACGCTTTTGTACCTCTTCAGACCTCTGATCTCCTGGCTCGATTCCTTGTCACACTCCGGGCTGTATCCGGGTGCAGGCCAGGTTTTCTCTCTCTCTCTCCTCAGCAGGGATGGACAGGCAGGTGCACTACATCTGAGCTGATCACCTTCTTAAGGAGCTGGAACCAGGAGGAGGGCGTCAGTTCGTTAATGCCACTGCGTTGGTACAGACAAAACCCAAAGCTTGTCCTAGAGATTCTAAAACCCTTGTCTAAATCCTGCTCTAAACCTCTTCCTGCAGAACCCCTGTTTCTGACCCCTGGACCCAGCCGTGAACCATAGACCTTGGACCCTCCGTCTGAAAACAACCAGGAACCCGAGAGGGATCTCGGGTTATCCACCGCTCAGCCCTCCTACGCTCTCCTGCCTGTCCACCCTCGAACCACCAACCAGGGAGAGAGTACTGGTCAGCACTCGGACCACCGGGGACACTCCCCCCAAGATCGGACCACAGCCTCTCTACAGTGAGTGTCAGCCCACCATAATCCTCCAGCAACTGTTTCCTCACATTCACCAGTCTCATCTTCTCTGCAGAAGCCCAGAAGAACCTGACCAGACCATACAGCTTCCAGTTCACATCCACTATCTTGTTTTTCAATAAACCTCTTAAACCTTCACCTGCCTGTGTAGTTGCTCTCGTCCAGAGTCACCTTCAGTTATGACATTCCTGAGCACTTCTTTGACACCGATTTTGGCTTGGTCCTCTGGACTGTCCTGCCCACAAAAATGCAGTTTCAATATTTTATATATTACATTTTTACAAAGATACCCAAACAATAGAAGAGGACTAATTCAGAAATAATGGCATTGACAATTGTAACGGGTCCCAAGCTGGGCCGGGTACCACGTCACAATATTGAAAAAAAAGATGAGAGAGATGAGTCTTCAGTGTCTCGCTGGCTTTGGGTTCTGAAAAACAGAGTGAATGATCACAGGATCAAGAACAACGAACCATTCTCTTTCGTTCCCAAAACTCCTCTGATTTATTCACAATTATATAACAAAACAATCAATCAAACAACCAATAAAATATTCCCAAAATCTGCAATAGTGTCTCTTTCAGTGTCTTCTTCCAGGTACAATGTGCATACGAACGTGTATACAGTTCTTATTCCCTTTTTTTCAGGTAGTGTATGTAATGTTGTTTGTTCTGTTCCCATAGAACACAAACATACAGTATAACCATAAAGCTATTGTTATATTAAACATAACCATATAACTCTGTCAAAATACACTAGTTTCTCTCACACTCAGTATCACGCTTTGACTTCAATAAACACCTAAACCCCTCATCATTTCACATTGAAATATATCCACGGGCACTCTCTGTATAGGTACTAGTCCCATATAGCTGCCATTAAATAGAACAAATAATACTGTTAGCCAGTGCAGTTTTTATAGTGCTGCTAATCACAGCTATAGTGCAATATGAATTCACTTTCATTTTCTTTAGCTTAAAGCTGTTCGGAATACTCAATATGTCTTTTCAAAACTTATTGACATCATTGCAAATGGGAAATAAAAATGGAAAATAACAAATATGTATGTTCAAACCATTCCAACAACAATAAGTGCACTAAAGGCTCACTTATCTTCATAAAACATACAGTGTACAGTAAACCCTTAAAGACAAATATTTGGAAATGTAAAGAGAAGAAATATTAAAGTATTGTAATAAATGTAAAGATAACAAAACCCTTCACCTAATAAATTACAGTTTTCAAGTAATCAGGTAACCAACAGTAGTATTATCGTGGATGAATATAAACAACCACCTTCAGTGTCACAAGGCTGCCCGTTGCCACGGCAACAACTGCAGCACAACCCGCGAAAATCGCGGACTTTTTATAGTGTCTAAAACTCGATCTAAAGCACTCAAAAATGTCATAAACGGTCTCCCAGTAACTTCACATAAACTATTGAATCTTAAGGGATAAGTTGAGGTTGTTTTCACGTTGTACTAACCTGAAAAACAGAGTGAATGATCACAGGATCAAGAACAACGAACCATTCTCTTTCGTTCCCAAAACTCCTCTGAGGGGAGGGAGCACCTGGAAACACGGGCTATGACAGAAAGGTTCCGTTTCTCATCCTAGCGATCTACAGCGGATTTCTACTGATATTTACTGATTATTTGGCTGAATAACCATTACAGTACATTAAAATACTTTTAACTTGCATTTCACTCTTTGTGAGGGTCTCACACAATCATATTACAGCTCAGACATATCCCACAAATAAGAAATGTAAATATTTTATTGGGTTGCCTTTTTGCAAATCAGGGCTCCACATTGCCAGTGCATATAAACTAAGACATTTCAACTTCTATCCTAAAGTCTATATTAATTCTGTTGAATCTCGCATCAGAGCCAATGATGACTGAGAGTTTACATAGACACAATCCTTGATGACAGTTTTCAAAACAGTGCTGTGACAGTTTTTGGATAACATCAATTTCACCAAAGACCTTAATGCCATTACTTTGCTCAAACTTACTTTTATGAAAAATATTGATCAATATTAATCATCCAACCGGAAAATGTCACACTATTATTTAAGTATTGTGTATCTGTTTTGTTCTCATTACCTGTGGAAAATATACCGCACATAGTTTGATTTTAAGCTAAGCAAAGCTGCTACAGATTACTTTTTTGTTAACATAGCTTCTGTTTCCAGAAGGCTGTAGTGCTGACTAGATGTGTTTGCTGTCCAAGAACGGATCAATAGACTCTTTTTCACAGGCATTTTTATCAGTGTGTTGGATTGTTTTTGAGCTAGGAATCTAAAGTATAAAAGGTCATAGATTTGTCTTCTATGAAAAACAACGCAATCAAAGAGAATATGATAAAAACTCTCTAAACCCCTTGGATCAATCTTTCTGTTTTTCTTGATCCAGCATGGCCTTTCTAAAGCACTGAATACACGTTACCCATCTTCTTTAACTAAATGCTTTTAATTTTTGTGTAGTTTTCTATAAATTATAAGATTTGAGCTGAACGTAGTCATAAACAGAATATCAGCTTTGTATTTGAAAAGACAAAATGTGAAAATTATCTGGAATTTATGGATATTTATGCAGGAAAAATACTTAACTGCTGTGACGTTTGTTTCAGTAAACTGTATGTGCCTTCCCATAGAGCAAAGGCTTTCTCCTTGAAGTCCTGATCTGTGCAATATTGTTTTTCAGTGTTGGTGGATTCATGAATATTAATTAGACAATGCAGAGAGGCTGTTAGGTGCTTAAAATGTATTGCTGGGTTTCTTTTATTCTTACTGCTTATTGAACATCATGCACTCTTACTAATCTTTGGTGTCACTGTGGTCTATTCGAGAGGTTTTGTTTTCTCGTTATGCCTTAATTTGTTGACAAAAAATTTTAGTCTTTGCTTAAACATCTTTTTCATCTTTCTGTTATGTTCTCCGGGAACAGTTACAATGGTAATCCATCATCTTCCATTTTATGATAGGCTAAAGTTATGGTTTTCTCTGAGTTGTTCCTACGCATCATAAACAATTTTCTTTCATTTCAAGGGGGGTAGTTTGGGTCAGATAGTTGAAACCAAGAAACACATTGATGCATCAAAGGAAAGCAATCCTAAGCACAAGCTGAAGCTGGTTTTACAATTTTGCAGAAATATCATAACTTTAAGCCATGGGAAATAGCAGGGCATAGCCTCAATCTTAATGAAAATGCCCAGATCGGCTCTAAAGGTTGGTTATGAGCCAGGGAGCTAATTTAAACAAAAGCTGCAAAATCTGATCCAAAAAATCCACTATAAGTTAAAATTTAAGCCACCAATTCCATTTTTTTTTTTTTTTTATCTGAAAATAAATGATTGTTATATTGAACAAGGAACAGTTTAAATAAAGTGAGCAGAGAGGCTGCAGCAGCTGTGGGAGACAATGTTGGTTCTGGCTGGTCTAATAATCCAGCTGAAATGGCACCCAACGTAAGAGCAGAAGCTATATCTGAGGATGCATTCCCAGCCCTCACACAGATAACTAATCTGCTTAATGAACAAAAAGACATGTTCAGTGAGCTGCTAAAACAAGAGTTGAAAACAATTTCAGGATTAGCCAACATAATCCACAACATATCTGGTTCACTTACAGTTTTTTTAAGGGAATTGCAGGATCTGGAAACTATCCTGTAATTTACACAGAAAGACGTCTATCTTATGAGAACAACTACATGTAAACTAAAAGAAAGCTGCAGCTCAGTCCAGACAGACTAGTTTAAAGTCTGGGCTTGTTGTCAAGGAGAAGTAACCTGGTGAAGGAGGATGCGTTGGTGAAACTTGGATAGATAAAAAATTAAGATTAAAAAAGGTTCTGAGCTAAAAATTGAACACGCAGAGGGAGATTGTAATGGAAATTATTCCTCACATGAGCAAACTCAGAGAGACCACAAGCTAATGTATTCAGATTGCAAAGATTTAGGGCTAAATCTGACATTTTAGAGAACTGAAGCCATCAGAGGCACAATCATTATATTTATTTGTAGAGCACTTTAAAACAGCTACAGCTGAAAACAAAGTGCTGAACATAGCTAAAAATAATAAAACACAATTAAATAATAAAATACAGCATAAAATATAGAAATAAGGTATAACAAGAAATAAGGAAATAACAAGAAAGCTAAATAAACACGTCATAACAACTACTGTAAGTCCTGTCAGTGTTAAAAGCCAGTGAATAAAGATAAGTATTGGGCCGTGTATTAAAGGGGTCATAGATTGGTTATATAGGGTAATTGGTGCTGGTCTTTAAGGTCTCTGAATAGGTGTGTAACATTGAGTGCTGAAAATGGCATATTTTCTGTTCTATGAGCCCTAATTCAAGCCTGGTTAAAAGCCCTAGCATGAAACAACAGGTTTCTTCCTTTTATGGTATGCCTATGAATATTTAGATGAGCTGTCTTCGGTAAAATGCTTTGAGCAAATGAACAGCTGGGCATCAAACTTTGCGGGGATCTTCTGATAGAAAAAAATAATCCATGCCTGTTGAGTCTTCGGATCCTTGAGAAGAGTGTTAGAATGTACCCCTTTCTCCGTGCAGCCTGGAACACTGCATTTACTGTATGTCAGTTTTGGGGTATCACAAAAGTACAGCCCAGAACCAAATAAGGCAACATCCCCGGATTGTGGTCAATTCGGTGCTTCGTTTGAATTCGTCCATTTCATAGTGGAAGTTTAGAATTGGTAGATTTGCAAATAAAGGAGGTGTCAATGGGGCTTGAACTTCTCTATACGTCCATTTCGACCACTGAACTGTCGTTCATCTATGACAATGTAAACTTGGTTATGCATTCTATGGCCCCTTTAAAATTCTGCAGAAAGGAAGCCTCCCTAATGTGCAGTGGGAGCCTGTTCCATAAAAGAGTAGCAGCAATAGAGAAGGCTCTGGCCCCTCTGAGCTTCATTTTAAAACTTTGTACCTGCAAGAGCTGCTGTTCTGCTGACCTGAGGGACCGAGGAGGCAAGTAAGGGTGAAGAAGCTCAGAGTGGTAAGATGGGGCCAGGTTATTTAAAAACAAAGATAACAATTTTAAAATAAATTCTAAAATACGCAGGCAGCCAGTGGAGCGAGGCCAGGACAGGAGTGATGTGATCATA